TAGCACAGAAACAACCAACAGAAATAAACGGGGCATTATAATATATGCAAAGCATAGTATTGCTTGCTCTATAGAATCAAAGGCTGTAAAGAAAATTTATTCAGGCCACAAAGTTTTAGAAGCGGTTTTGTTTAAATGTTTTAATATTAATATTCTGGTTTTATATAGAAATTCAGCTTTCTCTGTCAGACATTTAATTGTAGAACTTCAGGAAGTCCTTACTTCTGAGTTATGCAATCAAAATGTGCTAATTGTTGGAGATTTCAACATTTGTTTAATATCTACAGGGAATTCAATAGGAAATCTGCTCCAAGAAAAAAACTTTAGTTCCCTGCTTGATGTACAATATTCAACTACACCTGCCTGTACACAAATTGATTGGGCATTTTCAAACATGGATCCTTCCCATGTTAATGTAATTACTTTTGAGACAGTACACAGCTATCATGACAGTATTTGAGTCTCTATTTCGAACTACAGTTTTCAGACTTAGTGCAATAGTTCGTTTTTTTTTTTTTAATATAATCGAATTAAAATGGTATAGCAATTTTGACAGTAGTTTTTAAGGCAATTTTAAGTAAAATATGTAAATAGTCTAATTAAGCAATTTTAAATTATATGTATAATTTGTTATTATATAAGACATTATTGTATAAATATATGATACAAATTAAATAGTATAAGGAGAAAAGAAATATAATTTGGATATATGTATAAGAATATCTATAAAAATTTATGTTTAATATTGTAAATATTATATACAAATTAATATAATAATATAATTTTTAAAGTTATTAATTTCACTGTGAATGTAACTAACTAAGACAACAGTTCCTACTTTTAATTATTAAAATATATAAAGAATCTCAAAGAGTATACCATTTAACTTTGCGAGAGTATAAAATGTTCGGTTACATCCGAACTTAGCCCTTCCTTACTTGTTTTATTAATTTTTCTTCTCATTATAAAATTACGCTTTGCTTAATTTACTTGGAGCCGTTTTGCTGACTCGACGTTTCTCAACATCAACGGCATAATTTAATTAAACAAATAAAATATTCCTTACGTGGTAATATGATATTAAATGTGTGTATGTATGAATGTATGTAAATACACTGTGGCACTAAATTTCATTATGCTATGGCAACAGTATATTACAATGTGTAGTGCATATACAAGTTGGTATGATAAATATTTATAATTTATGTATAATATACAAATACATCTATATGTTGTTTATTACAGTGGGGGCTATTCAACAAATACTTTTTTGTATATTAGGTTGTGGCAGCTTGGAAGTGGTGGAGTCATCTGATGACGCAGTACCCATTAATTTTCAATAAAGTTGAGCCAGGATATCATTTCAATATTCCTGTCATTAATCCAACAACAAGACGGCCTGTTCCAAATAAAGAGATTTCCTGTATGGAATTTTATGCGTAGCACATGATGTTTCGAGAGCACGATTTGAAACTCCTTCCTCGAACAAGGCAAATTTTGAAAACGTTTTTGTGAACGTTTTCGTTTCGTTTCTCTAAACCAGATCTGCATGATGCGATTAGCGCAGATGATATTATTAGACCTAATGACATATGCTAAATTGTTATTTATTGAAGGGATTCAATGCGAGCGAAGCCGCGGGTATTGCTAGTATATACCATGTATGATATATTTTTTTCTTTCCTAAATACAAATAATTTTTATACATACAATATATAAGAAATTACAACATCTGTTCATAGTATAATATAGTAATGCAAGTTTTGTGGACAGCTGGTACGGTGGGTGTCTGGGTGTGAGGAATTCCACTGTATATGATTGCGTCGATTAATGAATGTTGATTCTGAACATTTGTAAATATTCTCCTAACCTTGCGAATTGCGAGACCGAGAGTTATACCCGTTAAGTTCTTGCTTATACACTTTTCTATAGTCTATATCAGCTATTTCCAACGTCAAGGTTACAATTTTGCGTATGTATTGACACGATGCGTTAATACTGCAGCAGACAGTACATCATAAAAGTATTTTATAATTTTTATGAAGTAAGAGTTAGTTGATTTATATATGTATTCATTTAGATTGCGAAAATAGAAAATGAAATAATAAATTGTTTGTCAATTATGTATTTTTATACTCTCGCAACATGTTGCTACAGAATATTATAGTTATGTGCACGGTTATTTGTAACACCTAAAACTAATGGAGATATATATAGGAGTTTGGTATTGTAGATGGGCGGAATCGGAGCACTGCCACGCCCACAAATTCTATTAATCACAATCATATAAAGCGCCATAACTAAGTCGAAAATTAAGATACAAAATTGAGTGATTTAGTAATTACAATAAGGCCCACAATGGTGTGAAAATTTGTAAGTGTGAATGACTCCGATTCCAAACGATTATGTGGCAAACTATATAAAATGCCATAACTGACTAAATAAATACGGCAGAAGCAGTAAATTTAAAATTCTTTATGATACAAAGGGACGTCAATGGAGTTGGTATCAAAATTGTGAAACTATGAAAATGGCCAAATCACGCCTACTTCCCACATACGAGCATAACCGTTTTAAATTCAATTTGATTCTTTCATTTACAAAAATCTGGAGTCAATGACAATATTAATATAAAGTGTAATATTAATGACGTGCCTTTTGGGTATTGAATTTCGAGTCTACAAATTGTGGAAATCGGACTATATCATTTCAAGGCCCAGATACCGAATATGTGACTTTTTACCGAAAATATCAGTTAATGTGTGAGATATATAATTGAACTTCAAAGAAAATCCTTTCCTAATAAGAGTATGTTTTTATGTCAATGAATTGAATGGAGAAAGGTCAAAGGTCTCTCAAAATAAATTTTTTCACAATCCGTAAAAATATTTTTTTTTATAGTTAGTATCCTATGTAATTTATACATATAATGATTTGATTATTCTAGCAGACTTTATGCCCAATATATCGGTCAGTGTATAAATTATCTTCACATGAGTTCGGGAAAACACTAGAGTATACTAGAGATACTTGAATAATTCCAAACGTTAATACAATCAGTTCAGATGTTCCCCTATACGCGATATAGTGATGTCTATCCATTTTGTTTTGCCATCTAGCTTTAAAGCGTATATGCCGGTGAATAACAAACTTTAATGAAACTAAGTGGACAATTTTTCTTAAAAATAATTTGGTTTAGCGCTAAATATGAATACCATAAAATTGGCCTACACCTTGATCTTAAGATGTGGGTTTCGTCGAGCAAAAAATGGCCTATTTTTAATAATTTTTTCATATAAAAAATTAAATATTTTATTCAAACTTTTTATTATTCCAAAGATACATATTTTACAAAGATTTTGTGGAATTTTCAAAGAAAAATATTCAAAACTCGGCTATTACGACGTCATTCTCTCTGAAAAAAGGTTCCTCGTTGAACTTCTTACAGGATCATCAAAAGTATAAAAGAAAAAAACGTGCTTTAGCTAAGACCATAAACCAGGTATTGGACGAAAGAAAAAAAAATTAAAATTGTAAGTTTTGGTCAACATTTCTCGACGTTTTTGTTTTTATACTCTCGCAACCTGTTGCTACAGAGTATAATAGTTTTGTTCACCTAACGGTTGTTTGTATCACCTAAAACTAATCGAGTTAGATATAGGGTTATATATATATAATTGATCAGGATGAAGAGACGAGTTGAAATCCGGGTGACTGTCCGTCCGTGCAAGCTGTAACTTGAGTAAAAATTGAGATATCTTTATGAAACTTGTTAGACATGTTTCTTGGTACCGTTAGACGGTTGGTATTGCAGATGGGCGTAATCAGACCACTGCGAAGCCCACAAAACGTCATTAATCAAAAACAAATAAATTGCCATAACTAAACTCCGCAATAAGATATCAGACTGTTATTTGGTACACAGGATCACATTAGGGAGAGGCATCTGCAGTTAAAATTTGTGGGCGTGGCACATCCCACTTTTAGGTGGAAACCCATATCTTGAGATCTGCTTAACCAATTTCAACAGAATTCGGTACATAACGTTATTTTCATATTTTTATGTTATAGTGCGAAAATGGGCGAAATCGGACTACAACCACGCCTATTTCCCATATAACACCATTTTCAATTCCATCTGATTCTTTCACGTTCCACTATGCATATCAAGCAACAATGATTATATCGGGGTAAAACTTTGCGTGAATATTACGTTTAAAATATGCCACCTTGTGACCAAAAATTGTCTAAATCGAACCAAAACTGTTCAAGACCCTAAGTACTAAATATGTGGACCCCAGTGCCTATAGTTGACCTTCTACCGAAAATATCAGCCAATCCACAAAGAAATCTCAAACAAGTATACCATTTGACTTTGTTTGGTTACATCCCAACTTAGCCCTTCCTTACTTGTTTTGTATATAGTTTTTAATAGTCCCTAATATACTGATTTCCGATTCTCTAGGTGATGTTTTTTGTCCATATATATCTCATTTGAGTTGATTAGCTAAATTTTAATATAAATTTCTCGGACACCTTTTTTAATATTTAGTTTTGGAACAGATATCAACAGTATTTCCCCGCCTTTGATGTTTGCAAATTTCAAAATGTTCGGTTACTTCACATTTGACACTTCCTTACTTGTGTTTTAATAAAACTTTGATTCAAAACAAAGTTAAAATTGATTTCCCGTCCTTTGTTAAACATACTGTACAGTCTTACGTTTACTGCTTGGTGATTGGAGCTCGTATGAAGCTCAACGACTACTTGTATTGCTAAACGATGTGTTGTATATGTATATGTGAAAGCGGAGAAGCTGGTTTTGTTCGCTACTCAAGGACTTAGCTGAAGTTTACCTATTTAAAAGATCTTGTTTTAATTAATTCTTGTCTTAGATATTTATTGTATTATATTATACTAAGCATATATTTATATATATTTGTTTTTATTTCTTTAGTAGACACAATCAATTTGTTTTGATATTCCAAATTAAATTTCAGCGTAGAAAACTTAAAGATCTTGAAGAGCTGTGGCGTGTTCAAATAAATGCTGCTATCATGCGGGACTTAAATACATTACGAGCTCAAATCCGTTACAAACCGAATAGTTTCATGAATTACTACACATACCTTAAAGCTTTAGATACCTCTATATATACAGATATTTTAATAAAAGAAATATTTAAGTTGGCAGAAGGATCGGAAACTTTTAGTCCAACAGTAGGACAACTTTATAAAGAACTTGGCAAAAAAATAGAGCAAAGGTAATAATATTATTACGGTATTGTGGTAAATGAAAAGTATGTATGATGTTCTATTATATTTATTATGTTTTCTTTTGGTATATACTTGTATACAAGGTGCGTTCCAAAGTAAACAGGACAAAAGTAACAAAGTAAACTCTATATCCATCTATATGTCGACTAGTGCGTTAGGATCTGCTATCGTTTATCGACTTCCAGTAAAAATTTCATGACATTTCATTTATTAGAAGTGAAGTTATTGCGTTTTAAGTGTCAGTATGTTTTTGTCATCGGTGTGAAAATGAGCTTCGAACAAAGGGCCAACATTAAATTTTGTTTTAAACTTGGTAAAACATTTACCAAAACTCATCAAATGATGAAACAAGTTTATGGCGATGATTGTCTATCCCGTAGCCGTATTCACGAGTGGTTTAAACGTTTTCAAAGTGGTCGTGAGGACATAAATGAGAAATGAGCCGAAACCCAAAAAATCGTGCATGGAGAAGTCAAAAGATATGATTCCAAGGGTATTGTCCACAAAGAATTTGTTCCACCCGGCCAAAACGTTAATGCGGTATTCTACCTTGGAGTTTTGAAGCATTTGGTGCGCCATATTCGACGTGTTCGGCCCGAATATCGCGAAGATGGAAGTTGGCGTTTGCTGCACGATAATGCACCGTCTCAGCGATCGACGCTTGTGGCCAATTATTAGACCAAAAATCACATTTTAACAATCAACCATTCCCCGTATTCACCTGATATGGATTTAAATAAAATTAATTGATTTTGCCGATAAAACCATTTGTTCTGTCTTTTTTTTAAAAGTCCTGTTTACTTTGGAACGCACCTTATATATAGTTATTTAAATCAGACATATATATTCAGACATATTTCAATTCCAATTAACTTTCATTTTCGAAAGTCATACATGTAAGATACCTCAGCTCATATTTCCAAATGAGGCTTATTACCGCAGACTTTTTCTCGTTAAAGTTACAAAATTTCTATTGCATATTTAACTACTTTTATATTTGCAGGTTATTTAATTACATTAATCGTTGAATTAAACAAAATAGCTTATTTAAAATTTTTTGTAATTGGTAAACTTTGGTCGTTTTCAGTCTAGTTTGTTCATTCCTAAAATTCTAAATATAATATAAACGCATTTTACCTTCATTTAGATATCAAATTGAAATGAAAAAGAAAAATGGTGTATTGGAAAAAATTGGAGAAATATATAGCTGTTATTGTGAAATATGGGGCGAGGGAAATACTAATGATAATGCTCGTCAAATATGGCAACGGCTGGTACACAATCACCGAAATAGTGGGCCCAGTATGGATGTAAAATATGTAGGTTGGCCTACCAATGTGCAGTCTGGTGTTGGCCGTTTTCTGTACAATATTTTGATGCGTGACATTAAAATAGATGCTCATATTATGCGTCAAAAAACCAAAAGCAAACAACAGAATCTTTTACCCGCCTTTTATACACTTTTTCGAAACCAAGGACGCTTAGTAAAAGAAGAAGTTAAACCTCATCCTGTATTAGCGAAGTAAATTTATATTCAAATCAATTGAATTCCAAATCGAAAACTTTGAAATTTATGATTTTTTTAAAAGATTATTGCGCACGTCACACCAGAAAACATTAACATTTGATTCGAGTCTGGTACCAATGCTATGCCCACCACAACCTTGGAGTACTCCCAATAATGGAGGCTATTTACTCAATAAATCAGAACTGATACGTTTGCCTCATCAAGTAAGTATGTATTTTGAATGTTAACATTGAGAAGGATTCCGTACATATTAAATAAATACATAAATTACATACATACTTTTTTTATAACAGGCCATTCAGCAATGGGATCGCATAAATTCAAGCAGCCAACAACAAATTTATCCGGCTCTTGATTCTTTGAATCAGCTTTCTAGTATAGCCTGGCGCGTAAACACGGAGGTAGGTGAAATAGCAATTAATTACTTATAAACAAATGACTTACTAAGTTCTAATTTTTTCGAAGTCCGCATTCGAAATTGATCTTATTTCAAACAACAGAGAACAAAATAAACATTATATAATCTTGAAAACTACTGGTACAATCTTTAAAAATTTTGTACCGCCGTGGATTTGGTCATTTCTTCTGGTATGTGTATTTATATATTTGTATAGACTTTTAGAAAAAAAATTTAAACGAGAAAAATCTCGGAGTTTATGAAATTTAAATTAACAGGTTTTTTTTTTTGGAATTTCACTCTGATCTTCGTCATCAGTATCATGTCAGTCATGATGAGCATGAATTTAAATATCTTTTTAGGGATATGATAATATTTTTGGCAACATTTGCTTTTGACAATGATTCCATTAGCATATTCACAAGTTTACAACAATTAACATGACAGTGTTTCAAGGACATTAATAATACATTGGCAATATCTTTACTTCTTAGCTTAAGCCTACATGCATAGCGATATCAAATTCTTAAAAATGAGGCCAGTATTTTATTTTAATATAAAATTATTACTTCTTTCGGAAATGCCACTTTGACACCTTATAGCATCTGTTATATGAGCTTGACCAAATATGGTGTACGCCATTGAAATAAGATTACCATGATAATGCCCATAATTTTATAAAACACTATAATGTGGTTTTTATAATTAATAATGTTGTTTTTATAATTGCTAATGTTGTTTTTAATAAGCTCTAATTGGAAATTATAAGGCAAATATTTCGTTTGTGGAGACTAACATTGAAAAATGGAGAAATTACTTTTTCCTATTGTCGTACGGAGTGCTGTTTTCTACCACGACTGAAGCTTCTTCGTCTGCGTTTCACAACATTCAGGTGACCATATCGGTGGTGCGTAGTTATTGAGTGGCCGGCCGATTATCTTGTATGTTGCCAACAACGTTTATTTGTCCTTGTAAAGGAGCACAGACTGTAAAGTGTAACGTCTAAAATCTTAGGGTTGTTGACAGTCGGAATTTGAATGCCTTTGCCAGTTGGTAAATGTAGTCGCTGTGGATTTAGTGAAGGAGAGTGTTAAGCTCCTTGCAGAGAAGAAGCGAGAAAGATCGGTGAGATAGTTGTTTACATGTGTTGAACACATGCCATCGATTCCATTGCCTGGCTGGTGAAGGAAATTCCCTCTGGTGCTTACGAAAGTTTCGCGATATAGAAAGTTAACCCCCTCTGTTTCATTTTTCCTAATTTAAAATTTTGACCTTGAAATAGTACTCATGATCGCCAACCGCTCAGATAGTTCATAGTCCACCTCTTCAGCATTGGATCTAGCGAAGATTGTTCGATGTCTTCTAGTACCGTTGTGTTATTGACTGTGTTAAGGCGAGAGTTAACAATGGTCTTCAGATTATGATTATTATTAGACCACCGCTAACGATGGTAGTATCAGGCGACATTACATGTGCCAATAATTCTCTTTCATTGTGCAAAATGTCGAATAGTCTATCTGTCCGGTCACATCCACTCCCCTACTGTCGTTTGACAGGCAAGAATGTCAAAGATCGTATTGCGGATTAAAGCCGCCTAGTACCAAACGATTCTCATAACGATGCAACGCACCTATGTTCGCGTGATATTCTCTTTAGCAACATGTAACCTGGCGGGATGTATACGAGTATATTAAATATTTCGAGCTCGACATGGGCCGACCGGAAAGCTATACCCTGATATTATATGGTAATATCTCTTCGGTCGATATAGCCGCTGATAAAAAGATATTCCACTGTGTTGTGCAATATGAAGGCTAGACCTCTACCAGAGGAGGATTGATCACACTGGAATTCATGCTGCCTAGTTGAGCTAGCTTCTTGGGACCGTCGAGATCCTTTGTTGGCGCAAACTAGGTACAATTTGAACAACCCTGCACGGAGCAACCCTGCTGCTAGATGTTGTTCCAATGATGGTAAGCTTAACAAAACTTAAACTTACCGATCCAAAATAACAACCCTTGGCCGGATAAACTCCGGGTAAATTCCAGTAAAGTAGTTCATGCAATGTGAAAATAGGTGAAATAAAATAACAACCACGCACAGTCCCCATATAACGCTTATGTTGAAACTACGAACAGTGCGGTAACTCAATACATAAATGTATCAAAGACATTAAATTTGAAACAGAAGATGATACGAAAGGCTTTCATAAGAGCCAGTATTAAAATTTAACATTGGGCGTGATACCTTTAGGTGAAACCTTATTTCTCAGGAGCTACCGACCAAGTTTAATCAAATTTGGTGCTTTAGATTATTTTAACATTCTTATGCTACGTTGTTAAAATGGGTATATTGGACAATTCCATATGATTAATTTACTTTACATAATATACAAGGTGCGTTCCAAAGTAAACAGTAAAAAAGTAACAAAGTAAACTCTAGTGGCGCCATCTATATGTCGACTAGTGCGTTAGAATCTGCTATCGTTTATCGACTTCCAGTAAAAATTTCATGACATTTCATGTATTAGAAGTGAAGTTATTGCGTTTTAAGTGTCAGTATGTTTTTGTCATCGGTGCGAAAATTTGCTTCGAACAAAGAGCCAACATTAAATTTTGATTTAAAATTGGTAAAACGTTTCAATTGATGAAACAAGTTTAAGGCGATGATTGCTTATCCCGTAGCAGAGTGCACGAGTGGTTTCAACGTTTTCAAAGTGGTCGTGAGGACATAAATGAGAAATGAGCCGAAACCCAAAAAATCGCGCATGGAGAAGTCAAAAGTGAAGACAATGCTGATTTGTTTTTATGATTCCAAGGGCATTGTCCACAAAGAATTTGTTCCACCCGGCCAAAACGTCAATACGGTATTCTATCTTGGAGTTTTGAAGCGTTTCGTGCGCTGTATTTGACGTGTTCGGCCCGAATATTGCGAAGATGGAAGTTGGCGTTTGTTGCAATCGACGCTTGTGGCCGATTATTTGACCAAAAATCACATTTTAACAATCAACCATTCCCCGTATTCACCTGATATGGCACCGTGAGACTTCTACCTTTTCGGAAAAATGCATTTGCCGATGAAAGGAAAGCGTCATGCAGACGTGGAGGCCATTCAAAAGGCTTGCACCGGCATACTGGCGGCCATACCGGGCAACGAGCTAAAACACTCGTTCGACATGCTTTTGCAAAAAGTTGTATTAAAGCAGAAGGAGACTATTTTGAATAAAATTAATTGATTTTGCCGATAAAACCATTTGTTCTGTCTTTTTTTTAAAGTCCTGTTTACTTTGGAACGCACCTTGTAAATCAAGCGCAAATGAATTTTTATTATTTTATGGAATAAAACCTTGATCAAACTCCTATAATATACCAATTTGGATCTTTCGGGTGAATTTATACGGTATATATCGGTAAGGTGTCTTAGCAAAATAAAGTTAACGTACAATATTGATATACTAATGCTTAATTCTGAAAATTTGTGTACTAATTATCCAACTCCCCTTTGCTTTATATACAAGTTGGTTGAAAAGTTGGTTGGTCTCACCAAGAAATAGCACTACTAGCTCCCCCAAGTTGGTACATCTGTCGTGAGAACACATGCAATGTTACAAGTCATTCTGTCAATTAATTCTTTGTTTACAAGCCATTTGAAGTTGACGTGTCAGAGTATTTTTTTTAATATGGAAAAAATTTAATATCGCGCAGTGATTAGATACACGCAAAATACGACCAAACACTGCAACCTCACCCAAAGTCATTGAGCAAGTTCATAATGTTGTTAATGAAAATCCAAGATTGACTAAGCGTCAAATTGCTAATGCCAAAGCCATCTCAGACGAACAAGTACTTCATATTTTACATAAAGAAATACATATGAAAAAGCTTTTTGGAAAGTAAGTGCCGCACTCGTTAACAATTCAACAAAAACTTTATCCAAAACAAATTTCTTAGAACAATTTGGAGATTTCTGACGTCGTTTTATAACTATGAATGAGACTTGGATTCCTCACCATGATCTTAAATTGAAACAAGAACGTTTACAGTAGACTTAAGCTCCCAAGCAGGTCAAGTCACAACGATCAGCAAAGATGGTTATGGCATCAGTTTTTGGGATGCAAAACTAATTTTGTTGATTGATTATCTGCAGAAAGGTTAAACAATATACTCTGAGTATTATTGCAGCCTCTTGGATCTGCTGGATTAAAAAATTTGTGTTTGAGAAAAGACCTGGTTTGCAGCACAAAAAAATAATATTTCATCAAGACAATGCACCTGCTCACAAAGGTGGTTTAACAATGACAAAATTCAACGAATTAAAGTAAGAATTGATTGAGCATCCACCGTATTCACCAGATTTGGCTCCCAGCAACTACTACCTCTTCAGAAACCCTAAAAAAATTCTTTCGTGAAAAGCGTTTTTCGTCGAATGAAGAAGCTATTACAGCCGTAGACGGGTATTTTTCACAGCTTCCGGAAAGTCATTATAGGGATGGCATAAAATTATTGGAGGATCATTGGAATAAGTGTATTAAAGTTAAGGGAGATTATATTGAATAAAAAAATATATTTCGTACCAAAAACATTATATTTTATTTCGATCGATTTAAACGATAATATTAATTTTCATCCATTTTTGCGTTCCATTTGACTTTAAACCGTTTTTGTTGGTGAAAATGTGTGATACTTTAATGAAAGTAAGTGGATTTCTTAAGCACAAAGTGGGGTATCGCTTAAGATGTATGTCTTGCTTTGAACCTCTAATCCCTAAAATAATGACTTCCGATTATTTGGTTAGCTTTTTTTCTCATATACCCAATATAAAATATTAGTTTGGTCTCTTTGTCTCGGACGTGAAACAAAATGTAGTGAGTCTGTGGCGTAAGCCAAATTTGATTGAAATCCATTTGGTTTTTACGAATAATAAAAAATAAGTTTTTTTTTTTTTTAGATACCGTTCTGTTTGTACATGCTCACATTACGAAATCTCGAAAAAATTGGTTTGGTCCAATACCCAGAATAATAGTCGATTTTGGCATACAGTGTAGCAATAGGTATACGTATTACTTTCGGTAAAACATTACTGAAAAAAGTGTATTGATACTAGGTGATAGCAACTATTTGACGAGGAATCCACCAACATTTTGGAATCTATTAACTATTTGGATTTTTATATTTACAATGAAGTTTCCTATGCCTTCATCTGTTTGTTAAATTTTTTTACATTTCTTTGTATTTTACAATGTTCAGGACTCGCTATATTTTTAAAATGAGGTTCCTTATTTTTATTTCAATGTTTGCTCGCAATTAGTAAAAAATTGCTTTGAATATAGGAAGTTTTTGTATCCACCACTTCAGTATTTCAAATTAAATATTACAAAAGAGAGAAACTTATTATTTGTTTTTTAATTTTAATATAGATTCTCAACGTTATAATAGAGGTATTTCAAAATGGTGGAGACGTTAAACTTGATATACCTCAACCACCAAGCTCACTGCCGAAATTTCCCTTATGCGATGAGGAAAATACAGCATTAAGTACGGCCGAACGATCGAAACTTTTTAAAGACAAACTAGCACATCGCCGAAAACAAGGAGAGATGTATAGCTTATGGTGTGATACTTTATATCGTCTTTCTTTAGCATCTCACGTAAGCACCCTTAATAGAATTGAAATTTGTAAAAACTATTGATATGTGTTTATAATTTAAGTATCGCAATCGAGTGTTTTGGCTACCTCATAATATGGACTTTCGCGGCCGCGTTTATCCAATACCACCTCATCTCAATCATTTGGGATCAGACTTAGCACGCTCCATGCTTGTTTTTGATCAAGCACAACCTCTTGGGCATGATGGTTTTAACTGGTTGAAATTGCATTGCATTAACTTAACAGGCTTAAAGAAACGCGATTCAGTCCATGAACGTTTACTTTTTGCTGAGGAAATAATGGATGATATTATTGATTCTGCTGATAATCCTTTAACTGGCAGAATGTGGTGGACCCAATCAGATGAACCATGGCAAACATTAGCTTGTTGCATGGAAATAACTAAAGTTTGTCGCTCAAGTAATCGCGAAGGTGAGAAA